CCCCCCATGCCCCCGCCCCACCATGACCATCTCCATCCATGGCCCCGTCCCACCACAGCCCCGTCCCACCACGACTGTCTCCATCCATGGCCACGTCCCACCACGGCCACGTCCCACCATGACCATCTCCCTCCATGGCCACGTCCCACCACAGCCCCTTCCCACCACGACCATCTCCATCCATGGTCTGGAAGCCATGTCCCACCACGGCCATGTCCCTCCATGGCCACGTCCCACCACCACCCCTTTCCTCTATGGCCCACGTCCCACCATGACCACCTCCCACCACGGCCATGTCCCACCACGCCCGTATCCCTCCATGGCCACCTCCCACCACGCCCACCTCCCTCCGTCCCCACCTCCCACCATGACCACGCCCCTCCCACGTCCCCAGCGTGGTGCCACGTCCCCTCACGTGTCCCCTGTCCCCCAGCCACATCCAGGTACGGGCCGGGGAGCACAGCCTGGCCACGGTGACGGGACAGGAGCAGTACGCCGTGGCCGTGGAGGTGGTGGTCCACCCCGGCTTCGACTCCGCCGACGGGGACGGCTCCTACGCCCATGACCTCATGCTGCTGCGTGTGGAACCCCCCTTCCAAATCACCCCCTACGTGCGTCCACTGGACCTGCCCAGAAGTCCCCCGGCCGCCGGCACCAACTGCACCGTCATGGGATGGGGCACCATCACCAGCCCCGAGGGTAGGTGCAGAGAAGACACCCAGATGGCCAAGGGATGGACATCTCCACCTCCATTGGGGTTGGGTGGTGGCATCTCTGCAGAGGAGGAACCTAGGTGTCCAAGGGATGGACATCTCCACCTCCATTGGGGTTGGGTGGTGGCATCTCTGCAGAGAAGGCACCCAGATGGCCAAGGGATGGACATCTCAACCTCCACTGGGTTGGGTGGTGGCATCTTGGCAGAGGAGGAACCTAGGTGTCCAAGGGATGGACATCTCCACCTCCATTGGGGTTGGGTGGTGGCATCTCTGCAGAGGAGGAACCTAGGTGTCCAAGGGATGGACATCTCCACCTCCATTGGGGTTGGGTGGTGGCATCTCTGCAGAGAAGGCACCCAGATGGCCAAGGGATGGACATCTCCACCTCCACTGGGGTTGGGTGGTGGCATCTCTGCAGATGAGACCAGATGGCCACGGGATGGACATCTCCACCTCCATTGGGGTTGGGTGGTGGCATCTCTGCAGAGAAGGCACCCAGATGGCCAAGGGATGGACATCTCCACCTCCGTTGGGGTTGGGTGGTGGCATCTCTGCAGAGAAGGCACCCAGATGGCCACGGGATGGACATCTCCACCTCCACTGGGTTGGGTGGTGGCATCTTGGCAGAGGAGGAACCTAGGTGTCCAAGGGATGGACATCTCAACCTCCACTGGGTTGGGTGGTGGCATCTCTGCAGAGGAGGAACCTAGGTGTCCAAGGGATGGACATCTCCACCTCCATTGGGGTTGGGTGGTGGCATCTCTGCAGAGAAGGCACCCAGATGGCCAAGGGATGGACATCTCCACCTCCACTGGGGTTGGGTGGTGGCATCTCTGCAGATGAGACCAGAATGCCACGGGATGGACATCTCCACCTCCATTGGGGTTGGGTGGGGCCAAGAGAAGGCACCCAAGTGTCCGGGGCTTGGAGCCCTGACCCGGGGTGGACACGTGTCCCCTGCCCTTCCCAGAGTCCTACCCCGACACCCCCCAGTGCGTGAACGTCACCGTGGTGGGTGACAACGACTGCCGGACGGTCTACGGCAACAAAGTCACCGAGGACATGTTGTGCGCCGGCGTGGCTGCGGGGGGCAAGGACTCCTGCCAGGTACCTCCAGGTCCCCGTGTCCCACCACCTCACCCCTGTGTCCCATCACCACCTCCCCACATCCCACCACCACATCCCTGTGTCCCATCACAACGTCCCATCACCATGTCCCCACGTCCCACCACCATGTCCCCGTGTCCCATCACCTTGTCCTCGTATCCCACCACTTCATCCCCGTGTCCCATCACCACGTCCCCATGTCCCATCACCTTGTCCTCATGTCCCACCACTTCATCCCCGTGTCCCATCACCACGTCCCCGTGTCCCACCACCTCATCCCCACGTCCCATCCCCACGTCCCATCCCCACGTCCCCATGTCCCACCACCAAGTCCCTGTGTCCCACCACCTCATCCCCATGTCCCATCACCCCGTCCCCATGTCCCATCACCACGTCCCGTCACCACGTCCCCGTGTCCCATCACCACGTCCCCGTGTCCCATCACCTTGTCCTCATGTCCCACCACCTCATCCCCGTGTCCCATCACCCCGTCCCCATGTCCCATCACCACGTCCCGTCACCACGTCCCCGTGTCCCATCACCACGTCCCCGTGTCCCATCACCTTGTCCTCATGTCCCACCACCTCATCCCCGTGTCCCATCACCACGTCCCCGTGTCCCACCACCTCATCCCCACGTCCCATCACCACATCCCCATGTCCCACCACCATGTCTCCATGTCCCATCACCTCGTCCCAGTGTCCCATTGCCACGTCCCATCACCACGTCCCCATGTCCCATCACCACGTCCCATCACCACGTCCCTGTCCCATCACCACGTCCCTATGTCCCATCACCTTGTCCCCATGTCCCACCACCTCATCCCCGTGTCCCATCACCACGTCCCCGTGTCCCACCACCTCATCCCCACGTCCCATCACCACATCCCCATGTCCCACCACCATGTCTCCATGTCCCATCACCTCGTCCCAGTGTCCCATTGCCACGTCCCATCACCACGTCCCCATGTCCCATCACCACGTCCCATCACCACGTCCCTGTCCCATCACCACGTCCCTATGTCCCATCACCTTGTCCCCATGTCCCATCACCACGTCCCCATGTCCCATCACCTTGTCCCCATGTCCCACCACCTCATCCCCGTGTCCCACCACCTCATCCCCATGTCCCACAGCCACTTCCCTCTGGTCCCCCTTGTCCCTTGGGCTTGGACACATCTCCGTGTCCCATCCCTACGTACCCACCTCCCATAGCCACGTCCTTTTGGTCCCCTCAGCTTTGAGACGTGACTGTGTCCCCATGGTCTCATTGCCACCACCCATAACCACGTCCCTTTTGTCCCCTTGTCCCCCGAGCTTCAAGATGTCCCCGTCCTCATGTCCCACGGCCACATCTCTTCAGTCCCTCCCACCCCACCCCTCCCTGGCCACCTCGCTCTGCGTGGTCCCGCATCTCTAGGTCCCAAGAGCAGATGTTCCCACTGGTGGTCACCTCTGCCCCAGTGTCCTCCCTGGTTGGGGGAGTGTGGCCGAGGTCCTGTCACGGTCCCTTTTGTCCCCAGGGTGACTCTGGGGGACCCCTCGTCTGCAACGGGGTCCTGCAGGGCATCGTCTCGTGGGGTGACCACCCCTGTGGGCAAGTGGGGAAACCAGGGGTCTACAGCCAGGTCTACAACTACCTACCGTGGATCCTGGAGACGATAGGGGAGGACTGAGTCCTCTTCGTCCCACCATGGACCTACCGACCCCACCACAGATCCACCGACCCCACCACAGTCTCACCGACCTCACCAAAGAACCACCAACCCCACCAAAGAACCACCAACCCCACCAAAGACCCACCGACCCCACCAAAGACCTACCAACCCCACCACAG